CATCCTGACCCCCTGCCATTTGAGAAATTTCTAATATCTTGTAAATGGTCAAGATCCCCACCCCTAAACCATATATATTCTGGTTTGTCATGATAAAGCACATCAAATGAAATTCAGGGTTAGTCCCCAGGGGTCACCCCCACCCCCTGCCATTTGAGAAAGTTCTAATATCTTGTAAATGGTCGAGATCCCCACCCCTAAACCATATATATTCTGGTTTGTCATGATAAAGCACATCAAATGAAAAACAGGGTTAGTCCCCAGGGGTCACCCCCACCCCCTGCCATTTAAGAAAGTTCTAATACCTTGTAAGTGGTCAAGATCCCCACCCCTAAACCATATATATTCTGGTTTGTCATGTTAAGATGGTTTGAATGATATACAGGGTTAGTCCTCAGGGGTCATCCCGACCCCCTGCCATTTGAGAAAGTTCTAATATCTTGTAAATGGTCGAGATCCCTACCCCTAAACCATATATATTCTGGTTTGTCATGATAAAGCACATCAAATGTTATACAGGGTTAATCCCCAGGGGTCACCCCCACCCCCTGCCATTTAAGAAAGTTCTTATATCTTCTAAGTGGTCAAGATCCCGACCCCTAAACCATATATATTCTGGTTTGTCATGCTGAGATGGTTTGAATGATATACAGGGTTAGTCCCAGGGGTCATCCCACCCCCTGCCATTTAAGAAAGTTCTAATATCTTCTAAGTGGTCAAGATCCCCACCCCTAAACCATATATATTCTGGTTTGTCATGATAAAGCATATCAAATGAAATACAGGGTTAGTCCCCAGGGGTCACCCCCACCCCCTGCCATTTAAGAAAGTTCTAATATCTTGTAAGTGGTCAAGATCCCCACCTCTAAACCATATATATTCTGGTTTGTCATGCTAAGATGGTTTGAATGATATACAGGGTTAGTCCCCAGGGGTCATCCCAACCCCCTGCCATTTGAGAAAGTTCTAATATCTTGTAAATGGTCGAGATCCCCACCCCTAAACCATATATATTCTGGTTTGTTATGATAAAGCACATCAAATGAAATACAGGGTTAGTCCCCAGGGGTCATCCCCACCCCTGCCATTTAAGAAAGTTCTGATATCTTCTAAGTGGTCAAGATCCCCACCCCTAAACCACCCCCCCCCCCCCCCCCCCCCCCCAATTTTTTGAACCCCCTTATGATTCATCAACCCTAAACTCAATCCAAGCCTTCCCTTTGTGGTATGGTACCTTGCAGTACAATTTCAGAGAGATCCATACACTTGAACACAAGTTATTGTCTGGAAACTAGAAAAATGCTTATTTTTGGCCCCTTTTTGGCCCCCAATTCCTAAACATTTCGGGCAATTACCCCCAAACTCAATTCCAGCTTTCCCTTTGTGATATGGAACCTTGTAGTACAATTTCAGAAATATCCAAACACTTACACACAAGTTATTGTCATGAAACTAGAAAAATGCTTGTTTATTTGCCCCTTTTTTGGCCCCTAATTCCTAAAATTTTGAGGCAATTACCCCCAAAATCAATTACAGCCTTTCCTTTGTGATATGGAACCTTGTTGTACAATGTCAGAGAGATCCATACACTTACACACAAGTTATTGTCTGGAAGTTAAAAAAATGCTTATTTTTGGCCCCTTTTTGGCCCCTAATTCCTTAACTGTTGGTACCATAACCCCCAAAATCAATCCCAACCTTCCTTTCGTGGTATTGAACCTTATGGTAAAATTTCATGGAGATCCATTTACTTAAACTAAAGTTAGAGTGCGAAAACCAATGTGTCTTCGGACGACGACGATGACGACAACGACGACGACGACGACGCCAACGTCATACCAATATACGACCAAAAATTTTTTAATTTTTGCGGTCGTTTAATAAAAAACCAGCAAAATACTTCTCTAAAATCAGATATCATGTTATATCTATTTCCATATTATAATCAAATTTAATTAATAGTTGCTAATATTGTTTCTTTCGTGTGTCAAAAAATAATACAGATCTGCAACTTATCTATCAATGTCAAAAACTTTATCTCTTAATAAAAATAGATTATTATCTAATTAAAAACAAGTTTAGATTCAGCACTTAAAGAACCCTATATATATTTAATTTATGTTCAAATATAACACACCCAAACTGATTAATTTTCCCAGGGGACCTGCCCTTTATTTTATATGATTTGTTTTTTTGTCCCATACAAGGATATATATGGTTTAGGGGCGGGGATCTCAACCATTTACAAGTTCTTAAACAGGAAGAAGGTGGGAATGACCCCAAGGAACTCACCTTTTATTTCATTTCATTTGTTTTATTGTAACATACAAGAATATATATGGTTTCGCCATGGGGATCTTGACCATTTACAAGTTTTCAAAAAAAAGGTGAGTAGGGGTTACCCCAGGGGACTTCCCCTAAATTTAATTTGCTTTAATTTATTGTCCCATACAAGTACATATATGGTTTAGGGGTGGGGATCTCAACCGTTTACAAGTTTTCAAAAAGAAGGGGGTAGGGTTTACCCCCGTGGACTTCCCCTATATTTCATTTGATTTGATATATTGTCCCATACAAGAATATATATGGTTTCTGGGTGGGAATCTTGACCGTTTACAAGTTATCAAAAAAAAGGGGGGTAGGGGTTACCCCAATGGACTTCCCCTATATTTCAATCAGAAAACAGTAAATTTTCAAATAAATCTGTCACTCCAATGATTATCATATGCTAAAATATTTCAAAGATCTAATTAATAATGAAAATAAATCATTATCATATGCTGAAATATTTATAATATCTAATTGAACAGAACTAAGGTTGTTTAACATAGTACTCTAACATAATTAATAATGTAATAATCTTCAAAATGTCTAATGATATAGCTTATAATCATTACCACTTAGGAAATAGATAATTTTCAAATAAATCTGTGACTCCAATTTTTATTCTGAGATAAGACAAATCATAAAAAGATAACAACAGTAAAATATTTAAAAATTCTACTTGAAGATAATTCACAAAGGAGATATACTAAAATCTTGAAAATTAATAGAGACCTTCATTAAGTCCCAGGAAACAACATATTTAAATTTGAAAAAAATTTGTTAAAGTATTTTCATGTTATTGTGCGGACGCTATTTGGCAGCCGCCAGAGCCGCCCAGCCGCCCGCCGTATATAACCATTTTAATAACCGATATTTCCATCGAAAATCCGGTTAAAAACTTATTGGTTTCTTTTTCTTGTGAAAAAACAATTTTTTTCTACTTTTTCAGAAATAATTATTTTGATCAAGGACAACTAACATATGCCAGAAAGGAACTTCAGCCCATAATGCATCTGTAAATAAGATGTGGGTTATTCAGCAGTAACCTTTCTAAATATAAAGCTTTATAAATTAAAGAATAATGTGTCTGAGGACAAGATTGATTGATTGATTGGTGTTTAATGCCACTTTCAACACTATCGTGCTATTTTGTGGCGGTCAGTTTTTATTGGTGGAAGAAGTCTGAGGACACGAATGCCCATACTCAAGCTTTACAACTTAAAAAGGGGTATAGCTCTAGAACGGTACATGACGCACAACCCAAATTCGAACTCTGTCTGTGTGTTGTGGTTCTTAGCACTGTGATTGACAGATGGTCAAGGGTAACACTTAATCCTCCCCCCCCCCCCCCCCCCCTGTTGCCTGAAAATAGTTCATGTAGTTGTTACAGCAGTGAAAAAATAAAATTTCATTCAATACAAAATTTCCTCCAACATTTAAAAGTTTGTGCTTTTCTGCTCAGGCTTTCTATTAAATCTGCTCAACATATGCTGTCTAAGTTGACCAGCTTCAGGTGAAGTTTACTTTACCTCAGGGCTTCCAAAATTATTTTTAGCCAGCCGGACATTTTATATATTATCCCGATTTTAATCCCTTGAGACTAAATAAACAAAAGGCAATTATGGTAATCAGTTGCCGAGTTGGCCATCCCAATGATTGATATTTAAAAAAACGATATTAAACTTTCTTTGATTCAAATTCGAAGTTATGGCGTAAACTGTTTAATTGGCAGTGCATCATCCGAAGTGTGCAACATCAGCGTACTTATATCTGCCTTAGACTCTTTATTTGTGCAAAATAACGTTGTCAAAAACTTTACTTTCGTTTTTAAATCTGAAACAGGATGTTATCTTGACAATGGTAAAACATGGACCAGAGACGGATACGTAAATTCCGTGTACGTTTGCAAAGCATGAATGAGTGTAAGTAGATCATTCTACGTTATTTCTTCAAGAAAATATTCGAAATAAACGTGAGATAAAGGTATCAATGACAATTTAAGCATTTTTTAAAGAAATTAGGATGCATAATTAAATTTCACACCTGCGCACACGTGTACTAGTTCAAACAGAGACATGTCTCTGGTTCAAACAACGTGGTTATGACGATTTTTTATTTCACCTCTTTAATTTTTTCATCAAATCTTATTTGTAAATGTATTTCTGATAATTTAACTCTTTTTGACTAAATTAATTAGATGCAAACCGGTGAAATGTAAGAAAATAACTTTGAATAGACCGATCAATGTCCGGTTCAAAATAGTTTACCTGTCACCTGAACAGGTAAATTTCAGCTGTTCGACAACTAATTAGCCTTGATTAAAATGAGAAGGTATTAAAGTAGGGGTTGTTTTGATAGTACTGTACTTAATGATCATGTCACTTTTATGACCGGAAATGTGTGGCTGTTAAAGGCAAAAGGTTGGGTCAAAAAGATCGCGAATTATGTTAAAATGACCGTCTCTTAAGAAAGCCTTGAAATCTAAAAAGTAGATGACCGTTTCGTGCTATGCCCAGCCGGACTTTTACCGGATATTATACAAATGTCCGGAATATATGACCGTTTTGGAAGCCTTGCTTTACCTCCAGCTGTCTTCTAAACAAAGAATACCCAATATCTCTTTTCATTGATTTTCTACATTCTGTTGTACAATGTTTTTGACAAATATTACTTACTGAATCTTTCTCTGGGTTACACACTTTGACAGCTAATAAATAATCCAACAACCAGTCTATAGGTTTATCTTTAAAAAACATCAGGAAAAATTCCACAACAATTGGTAGTTTGGAAGACTTAAACATTTTTCCTGAAATGAAACGATCCATATATATGTCAATTGATGAAAAAAATTCCCTGAAAAGGAAAAAACAACTTGAAATGATCTATACATTATAAAGAGACAAAATAAAAAAATTTCAGTACATTTTCAAGCAATGAGTACTGACAGTTTCACTCAAAGTAATCTCTTTTAAAACATCTAAATGTTTGCCAACACAAACATAATATAATATCAAAGTTTAAATAAACTTTTTTGTACTGAATTGGTATCAATAGCTTTTTAAAAGATGGCTACATATCAACACCAATAAAATGCTCCGCAGGGCGCAGCTTGATACGACCGCAGAGGTCGAACCCTGAACAGTTGGGGGAAGTATGGACACAACATTCAAGCTTGATACAGCTTTGGATTTGGATTGTGATTAAGTATTTGACACAGCATAGGTTTCTAACACAGATTGAATGTGGTCTAAGAACTTAAAAATTTTAAATTGGACATTCACCTATTATGGTCCAATATCCAAAATCTAAATACATGGTTAGATTCAGCATATCAAAGAACCCCAAGAATTCAATTTTTGATGAAATCAAACAAAGTTTAATTTTGGACCCTTTTGACCTCAATGTGGACAAAGTTGATAACGGGGCCCAAAAATCAAAAATCTAAATACATGGTTAGATTCAGCATATCAAAGAACCCCATATATTCAATTTTTGTTGAAATCAAACAAAGTTTAATTTTGGACCCCGATTTGGGCCAACTTGAAAACTGGGCCCATAATCAAAAATCTAAATACATGTTTAGATTCAGCATATCAAAGAACCATAAGAATTCAATTTTTGTTAAAATCAAACTAAGTTTAATTTTGGACCCTTTGGACCTTAATGTAGACCAATTTGAAAACGGAACCAAAAATTAAAAATCTAAATACACGGTTAGATTCGGCATATCAAAGAACCCCAATAATTCAATTTTTGATGAAATCAAACAAAGTTTAATTTTGGACCCTTTTGACCTCAATGTGGACAAAGTTGATAACGGGGCCCAAAAATCAAAAATCTAAATACATGGTTAGATTCAGCATATCAAAGAACCCCATATATTCAATTTTTGTTGAAATCAAAAAAAGTTTAATTTTGGACCCCGATTTGGACCAACTTGAAAACTGGGCCCATTATCAAAAATCTAAATACATGTTTAGATTCAGCATATCAAAGAACCCTAAGAATTCAATTTTTGTTAAAATCAAACTAAGTTTAATTTTGGACCCTTTGGACCTTAATGTAGACCAATTTGAAAACGGAACCAAAATTTAAGAATCTAAATACACAGTTAGATTCGGCATATCAAAGAACCCCAATAATTCAATTTTTGATGAAATCAAACAAAGTTTAATTTTGGACCCTTTGGACCTCAATGTGGACCAATTTAAAAACGGGGCCCAAAATCCAAAAACAAAATACACGGTTAGATTCAGCATATTAAAGAACCCCATGAAATCAAGAATAAAACCCCATTGAAATTGGTCAAGAAATAAGCAATTTATAGGAAGTATCTTCTTTTGCACAATCCTGTGCTATTAAATATTTCTTGCTATTGCGCAATACTGTACAATTGACAATTTCTTGCTATTGCGCAATATTGTGCTATTGTATATTTCTTGCTATTGCGCAATACTGTGCAATTGAAGATTTCTTGCTATTGCGCAATACTGTGCAATTGAAGATTTCTTGCTATTGTGCAATACTGTGCAATTGAAAATTTCTTGCTATTGCACAATACTTATTATATAATAATTTACACATCCTGTTTGGTGTGTATCTCCTACCATATCATTATTATTTGATTTTAAATATAAATCAGAAATAACCAACTTAAAATGGAAAATTTTAAAAGAAACAAAAAAGGAAAAAAAGAAAAAAAAGGAAAAAAAAATAAATCCCCCCCCAAAATTTTTTGAACCCCCATTATGATTCATCACCCCCAAACTCAATCCCAGCCTTCCCTTTGTGGTATGGTACCTTGCAGTACAATTTCAGAGAGATCCATACACTTGAACACAAGTTATTGTCTGGAAACTAGAAAAAAATGTGTTTTTTGGCCCCTTTTTGGCCCCAAATTCCTAAACGTTTAGGGCAATTACCCCCAAACTCAAACCCAGCTTTCCCTTTGTGATATGGAACCTTGTAGTACAATTTCAGAAAGATCCATACACTTACACACAAGTTATTTTCATGAAACTAGAAAAATGCTTGTTTTTTGCCCCTTTTTTGGCCCCTAATTCCTAAAATTTGGAGGCAATTACCCCCAAAATCAATCCCAGCATTCCTTTAGTGATATGGAACCTTGTGGTACAATGTCAGAGAGATCCATACACTAACACACAAGTTATGTCTGGAAGTTACAAAAATGCTTATTTTTGGCCCCTAATTCCTTTACTGTTATTACCATAACCCCCAAAATCAATCCCAACCTTCCTTTTGTGGTATTGAACCTTGTGGTAAAATTTCATAAAGATCCATTCACTTGAACTAAAGTTAGAGTGCGAAAACCAATGTGTCTTCGGACGACGCAGGACGACGCCGGACGACGACGACGACGACGCCAACGTCATACCAATATACGACCACAAAAATTTTTTTGCGGTCGTATAAAAACGTCAAATGAAAAAGCTTGGTTTATGGGACTTTGCCTTATATTTACCCAAGTTCCACCTTAATCGATTTTAGTTTCAAAACAGCTCTTGATAAAAATATAACATAACTGACTGATTTATTGCTGGTTGCTTAAAGTTGAGAGGCAAATATAACATGCATATTTAGGATGATTACCTGTTGATATATATTGAACAAGGGTATACATGTACAAATATCACACATTTTATAGGATTTGAAAGTCAGAGTTATTTCATTTTTAAGCTAATTAAATCATACCAGAAGTAATGGCATAAATGATCAAAGATTGTATAATTCCTTAAAAAATTTATTCTGAGACAAAAATGATAAATATAAACGCGTAGTTTCATCTGAATTAAAAATTAGGGAGGAATCTTGATTTACTATCTACTGTTTCTTCAGCCCATCATATGGCAGTAAATCATCATAATTTTAATCTTTTTTAAGTGATTTAATATGGCTCAAAATTTGGCATCAAATTATTACACATTTTACTATCATGATTGATTGATTGATTGGTGCTGAACGCCACTTTCAACACTATTGTGCTATTTTGTGGCCGTCAGTTTTTATTGGTGGAGGAAGCCGGGGGGAAAGGACAGAACCACCAACCTTCTGTAGGAAAACTAACAATCCTAGTCCATTAAGTTTGGAGTTGAACGCACCTGCCACGTGCGGGATTCAAACTTACAACCTCAGTGTTGACAGGCTAGTGACACAGTAGTTCTTACTACTTAGATCACTCTGCCAATGAGGCTCCCTTTCTTTACTACATGTATCATGTAACTGTTATAGGGAACACTTGCATTCTGCATGTCAAGCATATTACGCAGAAATAAAATCACATGTTTGGCTTGAAAAAAAATGAAATAAAAAGTTTTAATATTCATATCAAAATTGTAAATAGGCTTTACAGAAAAAATGATAATTTGGACCCCGATTTGGACCAACTTGAAAACTGGGCCCATAATCAAAATTCTAAATACATGTTTAGATTCAGCATATCAAAGAACCCTAAAAATTCAATTTTTGTTAAAATCAAACTAAGTTTAATTTTGGACCCTTTGGACCTTAATGTAGACCAATTTGAAAACGGAACCAAAAATTAAGAATCTAAATACACTGTTAGATTCGGCATATCAAAGAACCCCAATAATTCAATTTTTGATGAAATCAAACAAAGTTAAATTTTGGACCCTTTGGACCTCAATGTGGACCAATTTAAAAACGGGGCCCAAAATCCAAAAACTTAATACACGGTTAGATTCAGCATATTAAAGACCCCAAGAATTCAAGAATAAAACCCCATTGAAATTGATCAAGAAATAAGCAATTTATATGAAGTATCTCCTTTTGCACAATACTGTGCAATTGAATACTTCTTGCTATTGCGCAATACTGTACAATTGACAATTTCTTGCTATTGCGCAATATTGTGCTATTGGATATTTCTTGCTATTGCGCAATACTGTGCAATTGAAGATTTCTTGCTATTGCGCAATACTGTGCAATTGAAGATTTCTTGCTATTGTGCAATACTGTGCAATTGAAAATTTTTTGCTATTGCACAATACTTATTATATAATAATTTACACATCCTGTTTGGTGTGTATCTCCTACCATATCATTATAATTTGCTTTTAAATATAAATCAGAAATAACCAACTTAAAATGGAAAATTTTAAAAGAAAAAAAAAGAAAAAAAAAAATCCCCCCCCCCAAATTCTTTGAACCCCCTTACGATTCATCACCCCCAAACTCAATCCCAGCCTTCCCTTTGTGGTATGGTACCTTGCAGTACAATTTCAGAGAGATCCATACACTTGAACACAAGTTATTGTCTGGAAACTAGAAAAATGCTTATTTTTGGCCCCTTTTTGGCCCCCAATCCTAAATGTTTCGGGCAATTACCCCCAAACTCAATTCCAGCTTTCCCTTTGTGATATGGAACCTTGTAGTACAATTTCAGAAATATCCAAACACTTACACACAAGTTATTGTCATGAAACTAGAAAAATGCTTGTTTTTTGCCCCTTTTTTGGCCCCTAATTCCTAAAATTTTGAGGCAATTACCCCCAAAATCAATTACAGCCTTTCCTTTGTGATATGGAACCTTGTGGTACAATTTCAGAGAGATCCATACACTTACACACAAGTTATTGTCTGGAAGTTACAAAAATGCTTATTTTTGGCCCCTAATTCCTTAACTGTTGGTACCATAACCCCCAAAATCAATCCCAACCTTCCTTTCGTGGTATTGAACCTTATGGTAAAATTTCATGGAGATCCATTCAGATGAATAATAAAGTTAGAGTGCGAAAACCAATGTGTCTTCGGACAACGCCGGACGAC